TATTATTTTTATAAAAAAAATTATATTATTAAATCAAATATAACTTCGTTATTGTGCATAAATTAAATTATAAAAAAATTGATGAGGAATTTCAAAATCACATAAAGCCATATTATAACATCGACTGAGATAAAAAATAAAATAAAATATTAAAATCACGATGTATCTCGCTGCATTGCGCGAGTACGCTTCTAGTATATATATACACACACACACACACTACAAATGCAATAAATAAATTCATACACCCTCCTCACTTTGGACTACGATACCGTTAGGTGGCCATGACTACGATACCGCTAGACTAAAGGTCCGTTGATAAAAATATTTAATATTTACTGGAAACAATTATCATCTTCGCTTAATAAACATATTTTAGTACATGGATAGTGAGATTAAGTCAATTTTGAAGAATAATACTTGGGAGTTGGTTGATCTTTCTAGTGGACAAAAATCTATAGGTGTAAGATGGATTTATAAAACTAAACTCAATGAAAAGGGGGAGATTGATAAACATAAGGCCAGACTAGTGGTTAAGGGTTACTAACAACAACTTGGGATCAACTATCAAGAGGTATTTGCACCTATTATAAGACTTGAAACTATATGTTTAGTCTTGGTTGTTGTTGCACAAAATGATTGGAATGTCCACCAAATGGATATTAAATTTGCCTTCCTAAATGAGTATCTTGAAGAAGATGTTTTTTTTGTGGATCAACCTAGTGGATACAAAAGGAAGGGGCAGGAGAATAAAGTTTACCATTTGAAGAAGGCATCTTATTGACTAAAACAGGCTCCAAGGGGGTGGTACAGTAGGATTGAAGGACACTTCATCAAGAATGATTTTAAGAAGTGTAGCTATGAGCACACTCTTTTCATAAAAAAGACATGTAACATGATACTTTTGGTTTGTGTATATGTAGATGACTTGGTATGTACTGGAAACTCTTTGGATATGATCAATGAATTCAAAGAATTTATGAAGGTGGAATTTGAGATGACTGACTTAGGATTGGTGCACTACTTTCTAGGAATAGAGGCAAAACAAGGTAATCATTTTGTTTCCATTTCTCAAAGGAAGTTTGCCAAGGATCTTCTGTCCAGATTCAACATGGAAGATTCCATTTATGTTGCAACTCCTATGGAGATTGGTTTGAAGCTAACTAAAGGTGACATTAAAGAAGATGTGGTACTACATTATTTCATAGCCTTGTTTGATGTCTTATGTATCTCACAGCAACAAGACCTGACATCATGTTCTCTATGAGGTTAGTAAGTAGGTTTATGGAAAATCCTAAGAAGAGTCATTGGCTGCCAAACGTATATTAAGGTATGTGAAAGGGACTTTAAATCATGGTATTGTATATTTTCAAGCACAGGAATCCAAGTTGATAGGATTTAGTGATAGTTATTATGAGGGAAGTTTAGTGGATAGCAAGAGCACAACAGGTTATTTGTTTAGCTTGGGATCTAGGGCAATTTCATGGCAGTCTAAGAAGTAAAAGGTTGTGGCTTTGTCTTCCACAGAAGCAGAATATATGTCCCTTTCGTCTACAGGTTGTCAAGTTCTATGGCTCAGAGGCATACTGGATGAGCTAGCTATGCCACAAGCGACTGCTACACAAGTTTAATGTGATGATTAATCTGCCATTGCATTAACTAGGAATCCAATTTATTATGGTAGGAGCAAACACATAAGGATTAAGTTTCACTTCATTAGAGAGCTCATTCAGAACCTTGAAGTTGATGTTTTATTATGAGGAACAAAGGATCAAGCGGCTGATATCTTTACAAAACCTTTGCAACGTGGAAGATTCATCAAGTTGAAGAAAGATCTTGGAGTTGTTGATGTCTAGCTTATGGAGGAATATTGGTTATAAGCTAGACATATTATGATAAGTAGTTATGATACGTTGAATAACTGATCTTGCATCAGTGACAGTTATGATAGTTAATAGTTCAGATAACCGCCATCTTGAAAAGGTGTCTCCTTGGAGAGTTGTGTTGGTTCATCATCTATATATAGTCTTGTATTTCTTTTCTAATTTGTAGTTGTTGGATTAACCATATGAATAATATATACAGATTCATATGATGCATACCTGTTAGTTTTACAATAGTAATTTACTCTCTCTATAATTTTATGAAGAAACTTTTTTGATTGATAGGCTTATAAATAAATAAGAATAACAAAAACCAAGTTTTCCATTTTCTCTACTTGCATATCTATACTATCTTATAAAACATTTGGCTAAAACTCTTAAAAACTCTTAAAACTCTTAAAAACTTTTAAAGACAACCTCTATTGCTAATGATACAACCTGTTAAAGCCATCCCTAAACCCGTTCATCCCTAAACGATTTCATCCCTATCTGATTTCATCCCTATCCTATTTCATCAAATTTAGGATAAACATCTTATTTTAAATATAAAAAATCTAAAATATAATTAGGATAATTATTGAATTTTAACAGAATACTTAATTATTATCTTTATAAAATTTATA